GCGTCGCGTATCTCTCCCCGTCGCGTGCCGCCTCTCTTCTCTCGTCTCTTCTTCGAGAGCACTCCTACCTCCACCCTCTTACTTCAACCCTTCGACCATTCTTTCTCTTTCCACGTTTCTTCCTACGCGTGTTCGAGTTACCCGCCTCGTCGCGACCGACCGCCATCCCGCGAAAGCGAAGAGCAAAAGTGACGACTTTTCGGAGGCCACCGGGGGGAAACCAAACAAGATACGTACCAACGAACCCGAAGCTTCTTTTCAAAGTCGATCCTGCGGGATCCTAATTTCTTCGCGACCATGCGGGGATGGAACATTCGCTGCTGCTTCTCGATCGAGCGGAAAACGTGTTCCGTTCAACCCTCTCCCCGATTCGTAGCCATTTTTGCGCTCTCAGGCCGAGAGTAGCAATTTGAAACAGTTCCCGTAAAAAGTAAGCATCCGGAGCACCAAAATGGCTACGCCTCGGAAAGAAGAACGGTACAGGGGGATTCTTTTCATTATTTTTGCGTCCACCGTGCGCAACTAAATTAAGCACCACATGTTATGGAACTCTCTGTACACATAAAATCCTGGATGACCCGCGGCAATTCGGGCGCCCCGGTGCGAGGGTGAGAACTCAGATTTACGTTTCGGCTCTGTATATAAGCTCTCTGCAGAATTGCGAAATTTATTTCGAGCACTGTAGCCGAGAAAAGGACAGATTATAGGGAACAAGTCCTATTAACATGGTGGGAACAAATTGGACGCCAGAGATCTTACTTAATACGCGTTTATAGGTACATACTCGTTATTATTTTAATTATTGTCATCAATACTTGTAACGGGGGTCGTGGAACTTTTGCCGCGACCATTTATATTCCCGTATAACCTCTGATTATTTCGCTCGTTCAAATATCGCGGAACATTTGGTATATTTAAAAGTTGATTGTGTCATTCTCTTCGATTGTATTATACTAGCACAACTTTCAACCCCAATTTTTAAACTTAATCGTAATTCCAATATTCATAAAAAAAGAACTTACAATGAAAAGGATACAACAACAATGCTGAACGCAATTATTTCTCCAATACGAACGAAAGAATTGTTCCGAAAGACCTTTTATAAGAAAATATAAATGTAATAAAACTTGAATAAAAGTTTGTTTAAAAAAATTCAACTGCTAGAAAGCACGATCTCGCGTCGCGCAAATAAAATATTTTTTAACGACTTTCTGTCACAGCAACAGCACTTTTTACGCAATGAGCGTAAAAAATTGAATCTCTTTCTATCTGTATGCAAATTAGTCATTTTGAACCATTGCATAGATGTTGTACGTGACACAGAGTGTGATAAATTGTGTGCAGATTACTGAATTTGAACGACTGAAATTCATGTTGCTGTTGTAAATTCTGATTGCGTTACTGGCCGATAACGAAACCGAATATCGCTCTAAATCGAATTCCGAGCATTTTACCATGATCAATTATTAACCCTTTCGAACCTTATGCAAACGTATCTGCGTGTATATCGAGGTCGTTAGTTTTACGGTGCGTAATATATGTTTGCATGTGTGTGCTACGCGTGAACGTATACATCCTTTAAACGTGCTATCAGATTCTTTGCTTCCACGATGATTAAGTTCAATTCAAAATAGAATTACGTCCAGACTAAACGTCTCGCTATGTCGCGACTAGAAATTCCCAGCACGAACAGGGTAAAGTGCCGGTTATGGATATCTGCCCAGTTATGGATTATTGTTCGATTGCAAAACCTGGGCGTATGATACCTGGTGCAACCAAGTATCCCATTTACAAAAATGTCTCCTGTCCAGTGCACAGCTTGTAGCCTTATCGCCGGAACACTTTGAAACCGTGTATTTCCGCCCAATCTAGCTTAATGTCGTGAAATCATTCTTGGCTAACAGTGCTTCAGCGCACTGCTCGCTGGAATAAATCTACCATAGTCAAGAAATATTGCGTTTCATCGAGCTAGTATCTCATTACTATTGACAATTTAAGATAAAAGGTAATATCTGCAGCTTTATATTTTTTGTCATCGAGTCTCGCAGAGAATTTGAACATTTTCAAGGCTCGGTTATAGTGTAATTTAACAACCATTGACATTTTCCCTTTGCTAGAGTCAAACTCGTCTTAATAGAGAATCTATTTCCATTTTTCATTTGAAATGTGCAGAAAGGCTGAAACCATGACGATAGCGAAAGGACGAATGGCAAGTTATTAAATTTCATTTCGGAAAAAATTTTTCAATATTTCACGAATATCAATGAACAACGAGATAGTGTAAAAAATTCCGTGTTTCGCGGCAATGGATCGACGGGAACCAGCGAGAAAGATTACGGTCGGCCTCGAACATCGGCCACTGTACGTACACTCGATCCTCGCAATTAGCCGTGCGTACCGCGATGCAATTAACCGAACGCTGCCCTCCGTACTATTGGAGTAATCAACAAGTTTCCGTTTTTTCTCCCCCCAACTCCGCGCGACTCGCGCTATGAATACTAATTGCGTTCGGACCCGTTAAGAGCCTCCGATGACTCGGTGACACCGTTCGTAGCTAATCTCGTTTTCGACGTTTCGCCCAATTCTGGAAACGGTGCTCGAAAAAAATGAAACCGTGGAACGAAGAAACCGATAACGTATCGCGAACTAGTGTCCTGAAAATTTCAAATTTCTATAATTCGATATAGTCGAACAAATTGTTCTCTATTTAAACGCGTAACGATTTTAAAGACAAACTGAGAAATTCAGTGATATTTTTCTGAAATTGTCCGTCTGTTCCTCCAAGAGCACGGATTGAACTGTTCGTCGACCGAAGCTCGGTTTCCCAAAGGTCGAGGGGTGTGAGAATGCAACGGTGCAGCTCGAGGAAGGTTAGGATAATTGTTGGGGGAAAGGTTGAGGTTGCAACGAGAGTCGATTCAGGAACGGCGTGGTCGGGCGAAAAATGCACGGAGGGAAAACTCGGCGGAAAGTCGACGAAACGGTAAGAAGAAAGACGGAGGAAAGAGATAGTTGTTCTTCCGGCAGAAGCGACCTTAAACCGGCTCCTTTATCTCCGTTAACGGTTCCAATCTCGGAGAAAGACACGCTGTACGTATCAATGCCGTCCTTTTGGAGGAAACTCGATCAGACCGGTTACTACACCGCTTATTCGCGGTTTGTTTCTTTCGCGATTGCGTCCAACCTACCGAGAACTTGCTCGATTCACCTGTTTATGTCAAAAATACCTTCTGGTATATGACGTTATAATCATCGAGGAGGATTTAACTTCGAAATCTGCAAGTATTGATAATATTATTATTTAATATTGTATCGCGATCGCAGGTGAGAAGTAATCGGAGTAATAATCGGCTGGAATTATCTATGGTTCGGACTGTATCAATTCGCGAACGCGTTTCGAAAAGTGTATTGAATTGAGAAAAACATTTAGGGCACATATGGGCAACTGTGAGCCAGATGCGGCCCGGCGACAACGATTTATGCGGTCCACGGCATTTGCAAACAATTTATGCAAAATTCCCTATAGTTCTAATGGAATGATACAAATTATTAACACGTTACGTTGTTTAAATGAAAAAATAACGAGCTTGGTAACAAATCAACATTAAATAAAATAATTCAGTTGAGATCGAGGGTCCGCTTAAGGGTTAATATGGATCACCGATCGGGGGAAGGAAAATTTGCAAGAGCGTCTCGGTTGGCCGCGATTGCCGGCAGTTTGTTGTTCATAAATACCACCCTGACCGGGTATATTAACAGGTTAGATGGTTCGAAAGCCCAAGACGGCTTTCCCAGCGCGCAAAGTGGATAAAAATAGCAGACGAGAATCCGTTCTCCGTCGCTTCCTCGATCTTGCTCGTCGGTGGCTCGTGTTTCTTCCGGATTGGACGGGGCTCGAGACAAAAGGAAAACACTTTGCGTAATATCCTCGTTCGTTCCAGGCCGTGCCGCAGGATTCTTTGAAGTTCTGGAGGAATAGCGCGCGAACGGATCGTCCCTCGTTTCGAGCCACTCCGCGCGATCGAGTGCCCCGTTCTCTCGCTCTCTCTCTGATCGATAGGTTAAATTCAAGATCGCGTGAGAGAGGCTATTATGGGTGGGCACTCCACCTCGCTTGTCGGGTAGATGGGTACCAGACGCCGATCACCGACGATCATTCTTGTTAAACGAGGAGCAATCCGCCTCTTGGAATACCAAGAACACCGACGCCCGCGTCGATGATGACCCGACGCCGCGAGGAAATCGCTATCGAGGATCTACCGAGCGTTAACGAGTCCAACGCCATCTTGGTTCCCGGTGACCAACGCACACGGGAGTTAACTTTCGGAATTTACGCAGACCACGGTCCGTAACCGCCTGATCCCGAGATCACGACCAGGTTATCTACCCCTGGCCGCTACACGCTATGGGGTTTAGACCCTAAATTACTCCCTTGACATTCTCCGAACGCCCAAGCAGACGGAGCTTGCGGGGGAACCAGCATTAAAAATTAACGAATTTACGTTTCACCTGGGCTCCTATTCGTCGAATCTTACGATCTAACAATTTAGGAATTGGAAAAGAAGCGTCGCGATCGCGGAAAAATCAACGCCGCGATTAGGTTGAACGGTCCGCGAGGGCAACGCGGCGGCCGTAATAAGTCAGAAATTTCCGTCGTTGGGTGCGTTTCATCCCTGTCGCCGGGAGGCGTCCGCACAATGAAAGTCGATGGTTTTAATTCCACGGAAGGGTGGATGAGAACAGAAATGGAGAAGACGGCGACGACGCTCGATAGCTCTCGGGAAAATTCATCGCGAGCGTCTGTGTTTCATTTCTACGAGGCCTTCGAGACGTCCAATAAAATATCGCGCAGGGATGACGTTAGGAAGGTCGACCGTTCGAAATAATCGCCAGGTAGAAGAACACGAAATTCGTACGAAATTAATGCCCCTGATGAATCGCTCCCTCGCCACCCAGCGGTGATATTACAATTTAAACGAACCGTCGAACGCTTTTCTTACTTGTGCAGTCCGGCTCCGAAATCTGGTTCCGTGTCCTCTCTGCAACAAAAAACATTCAACGGTCAACGAACGTCTACGAAAAAAATTACAATAGTTGTCTACATAATGGCCTTAATGGAAATCCTTCGGATGAAATGATCTCGAAGGGGGTGAGAAAGAAAGAATGGCACCGGTGTCCGAGACCAAAGTTAATTAATCACTCTGACGGTTCGAGCGAAAGAAACGTGAACAGTATTACGTGCCACACAGAAGTATTAAAGAAATTAATTTCTTTTTACAAAATAATAACATCGATATTCGTGCTGCACCGTTTTTAACCCAACCGAACGTATGTGTAACGTACCCAGCCATATGTGTAAATTCACTCGTCTCCGCAAATATTTTCGAATTCCGAATCTGTCCGTGCATACAAACACTGCGTCACTCGAAATCGCAAACACTTCGCCACCTGTACCAGAAAACACTGTTCTACCCAATCCAGCGTCATCCCAGACTCCGCAAAATTTACTTTACTTTCTCCGCCTCCCGAACCTTTTAAAATCCCAATGCGTTTCCCCGATAGCGCGGTAAAATATCGAATAGAAAAATAATGTGGAACAGAAATTGTGTCGATCGATTCGAACGAAGCCAGGAATATTTTAAAGAATACTTTCTAATGCACGATTATCTTTGGAAGGTATTCGCGAGTAATTCTTTCCTGTCCGCGTATTTGTTGGTAGAAGTCTTGAACAATGTTGCGTATCTTGGATCGGTTGGTCGTGTTCCATATCCTGGTCCATTCTTCTCTTCCGGTGAAGTGGATCGACCCGAGAAGGTCTAAGGGATTGGGTTGTTGGATTCGATAAGCAGGGTGGTTATTGCTTCTTTGGCATTGGAATCGGACTCTTCGTTTCCGACTATTCCTCGATAGAAGGACCCTTAAATCTTGTTGCAAGCCAACGAAGCATGAGTCGCTGGTTCTCAACCTCTTTCATTCTCCACAGACCTAAATTTTCAGTGGTGTGAAAGTACAATGGCCCGATAAAAGTTATCTGGCCGTCCCTGCGTGGCTGTTACAGTCAAAAATCGACTCCAGGCGCGTCGTCCCTCGTTAAAGCGCTGCCAGCGGTCCTCGCCTCGAACGCTTTATCGAGGATGTTGCGGTACGAGGCAAATACCGAACGAAACGCAAACTATATAGCAGAAATTACTTGTTGAATACTTCACTGCTCGCAGTTCCCACCGAAATCAATTATTCGCAGACAATGGCGGATCTCTCGTCGGCGATAAAATGTTATTTCCTATGGAAACGCGCTTTGTTTCGTCGGAGCAGTTTCTTCGTGGAAAAGAAGCGCTCTGTCGGACCTCGTTAGGAACGGACGGACGTCGATCAAACAATTCACGGAACTCTCGCGTTACCGCGCTTGATTATCTCGACTTTCCAACGTCGAGTAAGCAGATACCCCCTCGATTGGGATCGCCTTTCTATCGGGTAAAAGTATCGCCGTGCCTGTAAGTACTTACCTCGTTTCGCGCTGGATCAGCCTTCGGCTGCCGATCGCGCGGAGGGGAAAAAACCAACCAATAACGGATATTAAAGGCACACCGTATAGACTTTCGTCCCCGCTTTTCGGATCTTCGACTCCCAATATTAGAAAACTTTGTTACGCGACGGCGAAGCGACACGGAAATAAAGACAGTCGACGATCGCCTGTCGTTTTATTGTTCCCGCGACGACCTCCACTATTTTCCATCCACGTGTTAATTCTCTGCCACGACTGGAAACGTGTCCCAAAATATAATATTATTCGTGGTAGTGGATATATCGCGAGAAACACGACGGAAGACGGCGAGTGGCATTGATTCCGGCCCCTTTGAGTCGCATATTTCGGGGACGGTTATCCGTCCGCAAGGGGGTAGTCTTCCACGGCCGAGGGTAAGGGTTTCACGCCCTCGTCGCGGAACGTTTTGCATTTTTGAAAGGTACACCGACCGGGAGCTGGCAAGAAAGAGACGCGAACGAAAGGAAAAAGGGGCCGACGAGGGGGCAGCGGAGATTAATCAGAAACACCTCTCGACGTTAGTCGACAGGGGGTTGGTTCTCTCTTGAGCCGTTGCCAGCTACCCTCTCGACAATGCAGACGCTCCTTTGTGTCTACTGCTGCTTTGTTTAATGGCTGATGAGATGGAACTTTCCTGAGAGCGTGGCGCCCACGTTCCCCCGACGTGACCATCTGCTCGATCGTCCATGCACGGGGGATCCCTTTCGCGAATATCACCCCTTAGGCGGTTCGTGGATTCCGCCACGCGAACGAAATCGCCGCGATAGAGAGCTCGATCGAGGGAAAGACACGAAGGAACGAGTCCTTCGATCCTCGTCGCTATGGCGAATGATTGCTGAACGAGTGTTCCTGCGAGACCTTTCGGTAGATAAAGGTGTCTCCCCAGAACGAAAGCGGATAAGAGAAAATAAAATTAAGTGGACAGAGTCGGGCGGAGAATAGCAATCGCGGAAAGGCGAATTCCTCGTTGGAAGGAACGAGATCCTTGCTTCAAAGTTATATTCGCCGAGTATTTATCCGTGTTAATATACAGGCTTCTACAGGTGGGCAATAGCGAATCTTTAATTTCTCGCGTTGTCAAGAGACATCTTTTAAAATTTTAAATTGAAATTACGTTCCAAGAAGTTTAATCACTTCTCGGAGCACGAAGCGGATCTCCAAACTCGATTTTCTCGAGGGACGTAGCTCGGAACGAGAAAAAGTTAGCGTATAGTTTCGTCATATTTTTCTAGATCTTCTGTAAATCTGCGCGCAGCAAACCCTTCGCGCACGTAAAAATTGTTGTTTCGATCATAACGCGGGAAATTAATTTCCCTGACTTTTCGTCCGGTGGCGCGAACAATTAATTCAATGGATAAGCAATAATTTTCTTCCTCGCGATTCAGGAAGGGTAAGAGAAGGAAAAAGAGTAACGCCAGGGGGATGAAAGGGCCGAGCATATAACGGATTCGCGAGTACGCACGGCGTGTACGTGTATTCGATACCTCGAATTGGAGCCCGAGCAACGAGAGCCACGGTTCGCAAATAAATTAACGTTTATTCGGCTTCCGTAGGATCGGCTATCCGCTGGTCAAACTTCCAGCTGCGCTTCCGCGCGTTATTAATCGACGAGACCGCTCGTAACTCATCGCGCTGCCCTCTTTGCCGTCCGTTCTTCTTCCTTTTTGCGACTCCGCCGCTCGTCGTCGCTCGTATTTTTGCACGACAGACGCGCGGCCTCGTCGTATTTCAACCGTTCGTTTTCATCGTGGACGCGTTTTTACTTTCGAAACGTCCGCGCGATCGAGAAACGCTCCGGGAACGAGGGATCACGGCACTCGTCAAGGCCAGGACCTATGCCAACGGTGTCAAGAACCCATTTTTGCGTAGAAAAATAGTCTTACACGGAAATCATTTCGTGCATTTTTAGTTTCCAACAACTATGATCTGTTCTAGTTGTCCGCGAGCTAATATTTTTAAAATTGAAGATGGCTATTGGCCACCATCGATCCACCACGTTAAAAAATTAAAATATAAGGGTCGAGCGAGGGACAAAGTCGTATGGATCGGGTTGCAGCCGGGTATTTGAGATGGCTGACCTATGGAACTCGCGATTTTAAATACCGAAGTAACCATCCCGGAGGCCGCGAATAAGCTATGCAGAGCCTCGTGACGCGTTCGCGAAAGGTCAGAGGTGAGAATGTAAAATGGTACGAGAGAGGTCACGGTGCACTTCTTTTTAAAGATAATTTGGTCGAGCTCTCGCGTGGGCGGGGCGATGAAAGAGGCCGAAATGGAAGAGCTGGAACCGACCGAGAGTCGCAGGGAAATGGCGATTGTCGAAAATCCTTTTCGACTCTCATCTACTCTGTGACGACCGCGACGGTGGACTGGAATCGAGGGAAATATTTTTTCCCACCGCGTTTGAAATTAAACTAAGCCCACGAGAGGCAAGTTACATTATTCCTGGCGTTTCCTCAAATGATGGACCATTTTTATCATTCGTTGTCGCACGTTCCTAAGATTCAGAACTATTCGACTAATAACTTTTAACATCATAGTCTTGGATCGTAGGTTTTATTTCAACTCCTTTTCGACCACAACAAATGCCTAAAAATTCCATCGATCGTTTCGCCGTCCACTAAGATTAAAACGCCGCTTTTCTATTCCCGGCATTGAATAGCAAAACAACAGATTGCTCTAATTTTAGATCGCTAAACGAACGAAGCTTCGAGCCAAGTTGCCCGGAATCGATTACAGCGTAAAATTATTCATGCCTCGTTCTATCTTCGAGAGTCGTTAATATTATAGTTGGCCGTTAACCGGGTAACAATCCGTTCGTAACCGTTCGAAACTGGCCCCGGTCGATTCGAATAAGACGAACCGATTCCCGTGCCATCGCGACAGTTGCACGACGAGATTTACGAGCGCACGAAATTCGCTCAAGAATCGCCGTACGCGGCTCGGTACATATTTGTTCGTCCGTTCCGTTTAATGACGGTAACTCACCTGCGCCGTCGGTGCGTGTCAGAGAGAAATGCAAAGCAAACCGACAGCGAGAAGGAGAACACGGCATCGATCGACGATAGGACGTCGACCGATCGTGATTAGCTGGCTTCGATGTCCAAACAGGTAATTCCTGACGCAGGACGTACAAGCAACCACGCAAATCGTAACAACGCCGTCGGCGTTTGCACCGCTCGCCGTCGACCGGAACATCGATTCAGCAAAAAGGATCCCGAGAACGTCCACTGTGTGGGTATCGATAGTTTTAATGGAGTAAGGTGCCACTTATGGGTATCCGTCCAGTCGTGGATCATTATCCAATCGTGCAAAAAGAATTGAACTTTGAGCTCAAAGCAGTCAAGGAAATGTTTAGTTAAAATTCTACTTCCACGTGCAAAGAAATGCCAAATGGTTTCTATAATAAAATAATTAATTTCTATGGTAAAAGTTTACCACTTAAAATAATCCAAGCTTGTATCGAGTCATCGTCAGTTTGAGATCACACATTCTGTT